GTGGGGGTTAGGAAGACATAAAGGCAGAGCGAGTGTGACAAGTCCTGGGGAGCACAGGTATAGGCTGTAGTCCCACAGAGGAGAAAAATACCTGGTGAAGGGGAGGCTAAAGGAGGGGATAAATGTATAGATTGTGCATGGTAGTAAGGTGTAGTAGTTGAGGTAGTGGTTTGAGAGGTATTTGTTAAACAGGTAGTGTTTTCTGTATTAAAGAGAGAGATGTTGTATAGGGTGCGTTGAGGTCTGGTATAGGTAAGAGTTAAGTTAGTGGTCCAATACGTTGGGATTGGAGTGGCTATGATGAGGGTTTAAGCCAAATTCTGCTGGACAGACAAATACAGCAGGATGTAGAACCGGGATAACAGGTTTTATTAGGGGAAAGAGACCTGCTGGGCTGTCTTGCAATGGGAGAACAGCAACTCATGCAGAGGTGGGCACTCCTTTTGAGGGGCGGAATGGGAAGGATTGGGGGTTTAGTGTACTTGGCTTGCGCTGATTGGTAGCTAAATGTATGTCCTGTATAGGAACAAAGGCTTAGGGTATTTGGCAGGTGTTGATTGGTGGTTCAATATATAGTCCATATAACGTGTCTGGATAGGTACTCAGGTATTTCCAGGCCACAGGTTATGTCATACTCTGCCCACCAGTTGTGGAAACGGAGGATCTACCAGCTAGATATTATAGTGAGTAATAAACAGCCCCAAAGCTTCAGTGGCTTATACTAAAGAAGGTATCTTTCTGTTTTCATGCCCCATGCCCTCCCTGGTTCTCTAGGGACCAGGATAAATGTGCAGTTACTGTGTAGGTAACTGCTAGGTGTTAGCAGCAATGAACAGAGAGACTGCCAGTCTCTGGTTCCACACTCTTGCTATGAACATAGGGGTGCATATATCCTTTCTGATTGGTGTTTCTTTTTTCTTGGTTTATATTCCTAGAAGTGGGATCACAGGGTCAAATGGAGTTCCATTTTTAACTTTTTGAGGAAACTCCATACTGTCTTCCATAGTAGCTGCACCAGACTGCAGCAGTGCACAAGTGTTCCTTTTTCTTCACATCCCTGCCAAGTGATTTTGAGCATGTTTTCATATGTGTCTTGGCTATCTGAATGTCCTCTTTTGAAAAGTGTCTATTTAGGTCAGTACACATCATAGCAACCGGTCGTTCCGCCATTCAGTCGATTTGCATATTAGCCTTTTATTATATAGGATATTTTATTTTATTTTTTTCAATATATTTTATTGATTTTTTAGAGGGAGGAAGGGCAAGTGATTGAGAGTTAGAAATGATAAGCTGCCTCCTGCACACCTCCTACTGGGGATGTGCCCGCAACCATGGTATATGCCCTTAACCGGAATCAAACCTGAGACCCTTCAGTCCGCAGGCTGACACTCCATCCACTGAGCCAAATACACACACACACACACACAAATGGAAGTGAGAAAATGCACAATTAGCTAAATAGGGACTCTAGGCAGCACCCACATTTAGGGATATATTTTTCGCAGTGCTTGGTGAGTGTGGCCACTCAGTTTATATCCATGGAATGAAGGAAACTATGAGGGGGAGGAAGGAAGGATAGGAGAGCCCAGGGGAGAAATGGCCATTTAGGTTTGAAGGTTAAGAATGTCCCAATGATGGACTCCTGGCCCCCTCTCCCTGCTCTGCTTCGCTCCCCAGCTTCTCCTCAGGCACCACAAGTCTGTGCCTCTCTCCCTGCTCCAAAGCCCCAACTGTTTGCAATAGAAAAGTCCTGTGTTCTGCATTTAGAGAATAAAAACAAAAGCAAAACAATGAAACTGCTCTTTAGCATCTTCCTCCAGCACCGTGCTGTTTGGCCAGCTTTTCATGGGGCAGCCTTTCGGTGCTTTTATCTTGATTTGTTGATGACTGCCATTCTGACTGGTGTGAGATGGTACCTCATTGTTGTTTTGATTTGCCTTTTTCAGATGATTAGTGACTTTAAGCTTGTATGTTGAAACTGGCTCCAGTTGCCCCAGAAGCCAGCGGCCGTGTGGCTTTTCCTTTACACAGTTGGATATTAACCACTTCATGAAGGGATTCAGCTTTGGTACAACACAACTTTCTCCTCACCCTTTTGGCCCACGGGCTGGCTGTCCCTTTCAAGCCCACTTCCCAGTTCTTGCCATACTCCAGGCATCCTCTGCCCTTCCTTCTTGTAAAACGTCTGCTCAGCTGCATGTAATTTGTTAATACCAGGAGGATATTCTTTGATTTAGTTGTATTTCCAGTCTGGCTCAAGACAAGATGCACAATACATCTGCCTATTCGGCCACCATTTATTTTATTTATTTATTTATTTATTTTTACTACTTTCTGATCCTTGCTGTTAAAAGCAGCCAGACTGACCTCCCTATAGCTTGTATATGCACAGGGAAGGCTTCCACCTGGAGCCTGCCACCCCTTCCCAGACTTCCTCAGTGAAGACCCCACTGACCAACGCTGGTTTCACTTCCCCCCATAGCTGCTGTTACCTGTCACAGGTATCCTGGTCCATTCTCTGTGGACTGTCCTCCACTAGATGCCAGTTCCCAAGGACAGGGGACTTTGTATTTGGGGCATCTGAAACAGTTGGTCTCAACAGCATCCACAGCCTCAACACATGGCTGCTGAGCCTCCCATCCAATGGGATTCAAGTTCTCATCCCTACAGCCTTCCCTCAGCCCACCCACTCAAGGAACCTGGCCCATGAGCTGGCAGGAACACGTTCACAGGCACACAACCTCTCTGCCCCTCAACCACACACCCCAGCAGCACACTATTCTCCAGAATCCAGGCACTATCCCCTCATTGCAGGTCTCCCATGCACAGGCAAAACTTACGGAGGGGCACACTGACCACAACTCATCCTCCGAATGTGGAATTATATGGAGACCAAGCCAATCCTTCTGAAAATGCTTGTATTGCAGAATGTTCTCACCACTGATGATACACACCACCATATCCTGGAGAACCCATGCTACCTCCAGGACTGGCTGGGTGAAGAGTGGGGGAGACTAGTGCTTTAATTTCAATAAAATTAAAGTGAAAAATAATCTCTGAAGTGAAAATGAGACTTAAACACCAGTGAGTCTCAGGGGTGTGAGTGGGTTGGCTGGAGGCCGAACTTTCTAAATGTGAACTGATTTGGGGACCTATAGCATCAGGGGGCTTCTCTCAGATACAGAACTAACTTCATGTGCAGCAGGCCAGGTGCCTGGGGGTGGGGAAGAGCAGGCTGGAGAGACCTCTGGATGGAGACAGAAGACCCCTGGCCAGCTCATCTTAGGCAGACACAGAACCCAAATCCCTCCCAGTGCCTTGCCTGGGCCTCCTCTCTGCCAAACCCTGGGAAGGATACAGTGTACCCAGCTGCAGTGGGAGCATCTGAGGCAAACGCTGAAAAGTGAGCAAAGGTGGACTGTGCAGGCAGAGGCCTCATCTCAGGACACTAGGGTGAATGTTTGAGTTCTTTTGGTAATCCTCATCTGAGAATATTTTTCCATTGATTTTTAGAGAGAGTGCAAGGGAAGGGAGAAAGGAAGAGAGAGATTGAGGGGGACATCAATATGAGAGAGAAGAAAAAAATTAGATGCCTCCTACATAGCACAACATGGTCTGGGACAAACAGGCAAATTAGAACCACAAAGTCATGCAGTCTTTATTTCAAGGCCATGGGCAGCAATGCACTATAAGCCAATTGGTCAAAGAGTGATTTCCTGGCATGATGCTGTCCCTCCTAAAGCACAGAAAGGTTGGGAACCACACAATATCTGTTAACTCTATGATGATAGATCATAACTGTGCTTGACAATCATCCCTGGAATTGAATATAACCAAATAATTAAAAGTACAAAAGAAAAACACCTTTACTAAAAGATCATAAACTAGACAGAGGACAGCAAGCGGTTCGCAGGTTGGTGAATCAGAACCTGGAAAAATTCATCACAGCATGATGTGAGAAGCACATGTCCCTGAAAGAGGCAGCACTTCTTAGCTGAGGATGGGTGTCCTGGATGAACCCTGGGTCAGGTGTATTACCTCCATAGAGATAAAGGAATGAAGATCCTGTCAGGAGCTGGAATAATCATAATGTTCTCAAGCACAAGAGAGAACACAGAATACATTTTCCCTGAGCACACAGGGGTTGGGACTGATACACAGTCTTCAGGTGAGCCAGGTTGTAGAGGGGAAATCTCTTCAGCCACAAATCAATCGGGTAGAAGATCTGTGCATGTTACCAAGTGCAATGCACTCCTTCAAGCCTCAGTTGTATTGGAAACTTATGCGGACTCTAGTACAGTGTATGTCCCATTATAAGGGTTTAAATTCCTGAAAATAGGTCCCAAAGAGTGGCCTTCAGTGTTATTATTCAAGTGAATAAAATAAAACATTCTCTGCACATTTAACACTTCTCTCCACTGTGACCTCTCAGATGTTTAATAAGACTAGATTTTTCTCAAAAACACTTCCTACATTCAGTACACTCATTTGGCTTCTCTCCAGTGTGAACTCTCTGGTGTTTAATGAGTTTACTTCTTTCACTGAAGGACTTCTCACATTCAGTACACTGATATGGCTTCTCTCCAGTGTGAAGTCTCTGGTGTTTAATGAGTGTACTTCTTTCACTAAAGAACTTTCCACATTCAGTACACTCATATGGCTTCTCTCCACTGTGATTTTTCAGATGTTTAATAAGCTTAGATTTTTCACGAAAAGACTTCCCACACTCGATACACTCATACGGCTTCTCTCCACTGTGATTTCTCAGATGTTTAATAAGCTCCGATTTTTTGCGAAAAGACTTCCCACATTAAGTACACACATATGGCTTCTCTCCAGTGTGAACTCTCTGGTGTTTAATGAGTGTACTTCTTTCACTGAAGGACTTTCCAAATTCAGTACACTCATATGGCTTCTTTTCACTGTGATTTCTCAGATGCCTAATAAGGTTAGATTTTTGGCCAAAAGACTTCCCACATTCAGTACACTCATATGGCTTCTCTCCAGTGTGAACTCTCAGATGGCTAATAAGGTTAGATTTTTGGCTAAGAGACTTCCCACATTCAGTACACTCATGTGGCTTCTCTCCAGTGTGAACTCTCAGATGTTTAATAAGCTTAGAATTTTCGCAAAAAGACTTCCCACACTCAATACGCTCATACAGCTTCTCTCCAGTGTGAACTCTCAGATGTTTAATAAGCTTAGAATTTTCGCAAAAAGACTTCCCACACTCAATACGCTCATACAGCTTCTCTCCAGTGTGAACTCTCAGATGTTTAATAAGCTTAGAATTTTCGCAAAAAGACTTCCCACACTCAATACGCTCATACAGCTTCTCTCCAGTGTGAACTCTCAGATGTTTAATAAGCTTAGAATTTTCGCAAAAAGACTTCCCACACTCAATACGCTCATACAGCTTCTCTCCAGTGTGAACTCTCAGATGTTTAATAAGCTTAGAATTTTCGCAAAAAGACTTCCCACACTCAATACGCTCATACAGCTTCTCTCCAGTGTGAACTCTCAGATGTTTAATAAGCTTAGAATTTTCGCAAAAAGACTTCCCACACTCAATACGCTCATACAGCTTCTCTCCAGTGTGAACTCTCAGATGTTTAATAAGCTTAGAATTTTCGCAAAAAGACTTCCCACACTCAATACGCTCATACAGCTTCTCTCCAGTGTGAACTCTCAGATGTTTAATAAGCTTAGAATTTTCGCAAAAAGACTTCCCACACTCAATACGCTCATACAGCTTCTCTCCAGTGTGAACTCTCAGATGTTTAATAAGCTTAGAATTTTCGCAAAAAGACTTCCCACACTCAATACGCTCATACAGCTTCTCTCCAGTGTGAACTCTCAGATGTTTAATAAGCTTAGAATTTTCGCAAAAAGACTTCCCACACTCAATACGCTCATACAGCTTCTCTCCAGTGTGAACTCTCAGATGTTTAATAAGCTTAGAATTTTCGCAAAAAGACTTCCCACACTCAATACGCTCATACAGCTTCTCTCCAGTGTGAACTCTCAGATGTTTAATAAGCTTAGAATTTTCGCAAAAAGACTTCCCACACTCAATACGCTCATACAGCTTCTCTCCAGTGTGAACTCTCAGATGTTTAATAAGCTTAGAATTTTCGCAAAAAGACTTCCCACACTCAATACGCTCATACAGCTTCTCTCCAGTGTGAACTCTCAGATGTTTAATAAGCTTAGAATTTTCGCAAAAAGACTTCCCACACTCAATACGCTCATACAGCTTCTCTCCAGTGTGAACTCTCAGATGTTTAATAAGCTTAGAATTTTCGCAAAAAGACTTCCCACACTCAATACGCTCATACAGCTTCTCTCCAGTGTGAACTCTCAGATGTTTAATAAGCTTAGAATTTTCGCAAAAAGACTTCCCACACTCAATACGCTCATACAGCTTCTCTCCAGTGTGAACTCTCAGATGTTTAATAAGCTTAGAATTTTCGCAAAAAGACTTCCCACACTCAATACGCTCATACAGCTTCTCTCCAGTGTGAACTCTCAGATGTTTAATAAGCTTAGAATTTTCGCAAAAAGACTTCCCACACTCAATACGCTCATACAGCTTCTCTCCAGTGTGAACTCTCAGATGTTTAATAAGCTTAGATTTTTGGCTAAGAGACTTCCCACATTCAGTACACTCATGTGGCTTCTCTCCAGTGTGAACTCTCTGGTGTTTAATGAGTGTGCTTCTTTCACTGAAGGATTTTCCACATTCAGTACACTCATACGTCTTCTCTCCACTGTGATTTCTCAGATGTTTAATAAGCTTAGATTTTTCACAAAAAGACTTCCCACATTCACTACACTCATATGGCTTCTCTCCAGTTTGAACTATGAGGTGTACAGTGAGGTGAGCCCTTCGATGAAAGGACTTCCCACATTCACTACACAGATACGGCTGTTCTCTAGGGTGAACTCTCTTATATCCAATGATGTTAAAGATTCGTCTAAAATCTTTCCTACATTTGTTACACTCATAAATCATTTCTCCAGAATATGCACCCTGACATTGAACAACTTTCAGGTTGTGGCTGGCAGCATTTTCACAGTCACCCCACTGGTGATGACTTTTTTTATCAAGAAATTCCTGTGAAATCTCACTGCCACAGTGTAGCTCCTCAGTTTTGAGAATGGCCTGGTGCTGGGGAAGCTCTGAGTTGCATTGCAAGTCTTCCCCAACCTCCCTGCTGGTTGAAGGCACCGAAGATAAGTAGACGCTGCACCTGCTCACATAGGATGCCCTGACCATGGCTTGTTTCCAGGGCTCCTCCCCACATTCATTCCTCTGTTCCTGGTGAGGGTTTTCACTAAAATAGAAGTCTTCCAGACATACATCAGTACAGAAGGCTTTCTGCTCAGAGTATGCTGCATGTGACCCAGTCAGGTGAAAAATATGTTGTAACACAGAGAAACACCGCTTACACAGATGGGTATTCTGGGTGTCTGCAGCTTTCTTAGATGCCCTTACTTGTGACTCTCCTCGTATAGATACACTGTCATCAGAACAGGCCTCCTCATCTTCCATTTTATGCCAACAACCTGAAAAGTGAGAAATGGTGAGGAAATGAATGTTGAATGTGGTGACAGGAGGAAGTCTGGTTACAAGAGTGTGTTACACACACAAGTTGGTTCCTTGAAATTGTCTGAAAATATGGGATGTGCAGGAAGGATTAATAAGAGGCTCTTGTGACTTTCTGGGCTAATGAAGATCACAAAATAGGAAGGCCTCAGCAGAAATATGACACAAACATGGCAAGCACCACATGGATTAGAATATGGATCTCCAGCTAATCTTTCAACTAACAAAAGTCAGCACAGCTTGTCTGCTGGGGACTGGGACGAGCTGTGCAAGGTTTTGGCTCCATCTTATTCCAAGTAAAATTCAATAAAAGACTAGCTGTTTTTGAGGATTACTTAGCCCGTATGTACATGTCATAACACATGCAAGTCAATGTTGCAGAATACTGCAGTGGCACCAATGCAGAGAAATAGGTGATGAAGAAGTGAGCATTCAGCACTTTGCCAGAGCAACACAGCTTGCTATATTATTCAGGGAAGAAAATATAACAAAGAATTGGATGGGGGCCTTACAAGAACAGCCCATGGTTCATGTAAATAAAGACCATAACATGACACAAGCTGCCACAAAGAACCCTTACCTAGAGAAAGAGTGCAGAAGTTGAAGCCATGCATGTGGACACTGTCAGCCTCCCATGAAGAGAAAGTGCAAGCTGGGACCCATTAAGCTGAATGCAAAACTCCTGACTCCCTAACACTTCTTGCACTTTTTGAGGTTACGGATGTTAGTGATGTTCATGGAGTCCTTTGCTCAGGGTTCCCCATCCAGCTCATCCCTGGAAGCCACAGCATGTTTGACAGGAAAGTGGGAAAAATTAGCAGAGGCAATGTTCTGGCTGTGGGAGAGAGAAAGCTATGGCTGAGGAATAAAGGAAGAGAGGGCACCACCTCAGGACACTGGGAGAATGTGAAGGTCTTACCTACAGATGATACAAGGGCAAAAACTTCCTGCATCACATCGCAGTACAGAAGTCTCTGAGCCTCATCAAGGATC